TTTTAACCATGCTGGAATGTGTTCTCGTACTCTTTTGGACAAAGGCTGTTCAATGCGACCAATATATTCCGTCCCACAGGAGCAAGTTAATGAATATATGCACATAGAAGCGGTATGGGCTGGCAGTTTGTCCTTGATCTCTCCGTATAGGATGGGGGTAGTCGAGAACAGTCCATGGGCGTTGGCTGCTGAGAAGGTGGTTGCAAAAGCTTGACCCAGGCGCCTCCTAAGGAGATCGCTTGGCCCATCCCCTTGAAATGGGACGCTGATGAATATTCGCTTCTTCTCTGCCGTCGACACTGCGGGTTTTGGTGGCCTTTCCGTCATTTTCTTTGTGATGTATCGACTGGGATATCCATTTTGTCGAAACACGCCTTCAATAAGCTTAAGCTCCTCTTCTATGCTATCATTCGAGCGGATATTTTTCGCCCTTTGTGTCAAACATCGTACTAAATTACGTTTGAAATTTAACGTTACAAAGCTATCAATGTGAATATCTTTACATTTTTGAAATAATTAAATAATGATAAACACCAATGTTGCAATAGTATTAAATGTATATATATTTTGGGCCACCTTGTACAATTAACAACTTCAATTTTTTTGATCATTACCTGTTTCACGAATTCTCTCAATATAATTTTCATTTAGATTATTAAAATTTCTTTTTATCCGACACGTTGGTTTTATTATACCCGGACGGCTAGATCCTTTATTCAAACTTAAAAATTGTTGTTTCTGAATCGGCAGGCTGCTAGACAGAGAGGTCAATTTGTGTATATTTCATGACGAATAACTCCGATTTTTTTTATCAAAAAATCAATAAATCACAGCTCGCACCCTCTTTACGTTCATTGCTTTAAGCTCAGAAAATCAACAGGAGCAGGATTTTGCAGCAGCGCAATTTGATTATGTAACATTTTGGATTTTGTTTTGGCTTAAAATCTGATGTTTCATCTGAAGGTAGAATACGCATCGTTGAAATCTAAGGAAAAGCGTTAACTACACACTGTCACATGCCAACGAATGCACAATTCACCAAGGAAGTTAACAACTGCTCACAAATAAAAAAGCGAGACGTCAAACAATTGCGTCAAAATTGGTGAAGTTCGAAAAGAAAATATTTTTCATACATACTAAATCGAAGCAAAAGTGAATATCATTCTTAATACTCTCGACTAAGTGATGTGTGGCAGCACGTTGAATTAGTATTTAGGACGTTTTCGAGCATTCGTTTGCAAATTCTAAGACTGCGAAGCGGAAGCCCTTTTTGGTTCTTTTTGAGCTTATAGAAAGTTTAATTGAAAAAGATTCACAAATAACTCAGATAAACAAAATGTAAACCATCTCGAATAGCTACGCTCAACCGTACTAGAAGTATCGATGTGAAACTTTTTTTGTTTGTTCAAAGTTTTGTTAAAGGCACTGTGATACTGGTTCGCACATGCTGGCCCTATAAGTTTTACGTCTGTTTCAAAACGAATTAAAATAGGTCAACAAGCTCACAACTCTCAGAATGTAGAATTAAAAATTCTGAATATTCACCTGCATATATACTCCCATTTTCTTGGATAAAATTCTAATTTCCTAGTATTTCTATTCACATAGATGTTAGCTACCCTAAAATATGTATATGAAGAGCTTCTTTTGCATATATTTTGGGGGAAAGCTGGGTAAATGTATGTAGATATAGAAGCTTGATTATAATTTTAACTGCATAGGCAATGCTTTTTATCCGACAAGCGTTATGAGCACGCCAGCACCTCTGACTCAAAAGCAGGGACAAACGTCTGCTCAATCTTGTGTCATAAGGATGATTCACCCACATAACCGGGATGCCATCACCTCAAAAAGGACGAAGAGTTGAAGAGTGAGCGATATATTTTGCCTATTGGCAGATATCCCTCTAATATGTCAGAGGCGCTGACTCCAGATCAGAAGGTTGCGTGTTCGTATCACGTCGGGGTCACCGATAGTCGTAAATTTTAGTAGCAACAAAGCGAAGCAGAAATGGCTTTGAGTGCGAGGAAAATGGGTTGTACAAGAGCTGTGTCACGCGTCACCAGCCAGCCAGCCCTGTCCCCACGCCAGCTGAGATCGCAAAAACGGTGCGCCGTAGGGAGGCTATGCCTTCTTGAATATTGCTTTGTCACTTGCATAAGCACTCAGATGATGCCGGATGTATTGGTTGGCATCGAGCGTACGCGCGTATGAAGCAGCGATTCGATCGATAGCGTGCGTAAGGCCTACGCGAGCATAGTTGTCACGCGTGAGTGCAATTCACGGCAGACGAAGGCAAGGTGAGTCGCAGTGGTGGCGCTGGATGCGCGGGCTCACACTGGCTCATCTTGAAGGGAAGCTTTTTTCACTGAAGGATTTTCCTCAGTTGTAATGATGAGATTACCTATGAAACTGTTGAACCAACGAAAAATGTATAAAGCACGACGAAATAAAAATCCTTAGGTACATTAAGGTCCTGTATGAGGAGTTACATACAACTTTTAACGTTATAGCCAATGAAGCGCTGCGATTTGTTAAGCTGGTGATAACTATTCTGGAAATAAAACATTTTAACAGGGTAGTTTTTTTTGTTGATATATGAATGCCTTAATATATCGAGGACGTTAAGTTTTAGAAGGTGGGTGACCTGGCTTTATAATACTCACTTGCTTTGCCGCTTACGAATTTTTCATGAATACGTTTAAAGCCGTTGAACTGCCCGCCATTTGGTGCAGCATATTTTAAATTATCTGATTCTCTCACTGACTCACACTCAGAATTTATTTGCATTTCTTTACCTCCAGAGTGCTTCAAAGAACTGTACGCTGGGCCAAATTGAATTTTATTCTGCGGTCTTGCTTACAGGTCTGGCGAACAAAGTTAAAGTTAATATTTGTCTTGCGAGGGAGGGCGAGATGAACCTGAATGTGAATTTCCGTTGTCCACTCGGTAATTACTTTCTACAAGGTTTTGCTCGGTTCCACGAGAAGGAGGCTGTTGGAAGCAACTTGGTCTTCAGGGAGAACCAATTGTGGAGGAGTCAAGTAACCGAGGTACGCACCGTTATAACAACTTCATTTGCGGTGGGGATCACCTTGTAGATTAACGTAAATAATTTATTTTGGCTGTATTCATGAAAACGTTTTTTTTCCTTTGAACCTTGTTTGATCTTTAGGAAAATGTGAGTTAGTTCTGGGGTATCACTATTCCGAAGAATGTTTCCCATTTTGCACAGTGCAGAATAGCTTACTAAAATATTTACTCCTTATAAAAGACTGTGGTTGTGACTAGTTATTACAACATAGAGTGAACATGATGGGTTCGTTGCGTCCAAGTTTCTAAAATTCCGAATAATTGTGCACCCTACCGACCGTAACACCTGCATTCAGTGTCTCCGTAATACATGTTGTATATGTTCTGTGTACGGAAAGGCACATATTGCATAGTTACATACTTATCATAAAATGTTGCAATGCACGTGGACTACGTTGTATAATTTATGAGCAGCATAAAAGGTGAATAGTTACGTCGGTTTATGAATGTACATTTCATTTTGTTAAAAAGGCTCATGGTGGAAAGTTTTCTTACAACAAGAAGTTTCAGTTTCTTCAAGCATAACATTTGAAGTGAAAGAAATTCTCTACCAAAACGACTACAAGAAAGTATATTTTTGTTCAAAAGTTCCACAAAATAGATTTGAATTTATAAAAGTATTGAAAACCAATGAGAAAAATGCATGCTATTTAAGTAGCCCTTTTTTAGAAGATACGTCTTGCAAGCGGCCAGAAAGCAGCTTGTGCAAAATCAGGCATTAGAAGGTGACTGAACTATTTTAAAATTGCGCTGCACGTTAATGCTTATTTTTGCAACAACGCTTAGCTACTATGCTCAAGCCAAAAAAACATATCCGAATTTCAGTTGACAGTTCATGCAATGGGGAATCTAGTTTGAGTTCCATTTTTGCAAGCTTGTGTCAAGTGCTACATTTATTGCAAAACCGTCCTTTAGTTCAAAAAACATGCATTTGTTGTCCATTCCATGAAGAAAAAGTACCATGTTCCAGTCATCTAATATAAATATGTGCGTCATCGCAAGCGGCAGGCAGAAATTTGGCTTGCCGTGCGTTGTTCCCCTAGTAGTCGACTATTACCGTTCTATCTCAAAAAATGATTCCGGAAATTTGATTTTCTTATCAAACCAAACCCATCCGTGACTTTTCCTCGGCTCTGAGAAATTGCTGTGTATGGCGTTTTTGCGCATTTGCTCGTAGCTATGTTTGGTGTTTCTTCTTTATTTTGTTTCAGTGCTTAGCCTCTTTACCCGGGTTTTTTCTGTAAATCAGCCGTCTAGTTTAATATGCGGCTAAGCTTTTTTCTGCATTTTCTTTTTTTCAGAAGGAAGTGGTGGTCAAGATAAGGAAGCTACATGTGAAAGCTACTGGCACTACGAAGGAGAATAAACTTACACTCCTATTCTACTGCTATGTCAGCCTTACTGGTGATGAGCCCAATAACGTAGTTTCCACAGAGGCCCTGATTAAAACTGATTTTGGTGAGGCAAACGTTAGTAAAAAATGGACTGCTCAGGAGCACTATTTGTCTCTGCACCTGTTTAATGATGGTGTTTATATAGAAAACTCCACGAAAGTTATATATGCCAATGTGGATCCAGTGTTTGACTTCAGCCTGCTGCTTACGAAAGCTGCGAAATATGTGGTAAGAATAGAGTTTTTCTGCAATTTTGTTTAGTATAAAGTTGCTGCAACTCTATGACCGCCAGGGTTTCTACTTTTAAACGCAGTTTAAAGTTAAATCAATGTTTTGCACAGCAAACATGAAACTGTTATTCCTCAAGACAATACATACAATTTGTCAAAAAAAATAGCAAAGCTAAACAAGAGTGCAGAAGAAGACGCAAGCATTACCAAGTTAAACAAAACATAGGTCGATCTGGCCTTCTAGAGAGAAAGTCATATACTATAATGTATCTTCAGTTAATGTAGGTATTTTGTTCTTAGGGCATTTTTCAACAAAGTGAGTAATATCACATCATGTTTAAGTTCACGGAACAGTCGTGATTAATAGAACATGATAATTACTCTCCTGAATAAAGGAAAGGGTTCGCGTTCCAGCTATTTGCATTGGTGATGAAGAAGAAGGGCCGAGCACCGGATCAAGCTTTTTGTTATTCCGAGCCTTTGAACTCTTAGAGGAGTCCATCGTCAGAGATAATAAACAGCAACAAAAGAAGGTTTAATCATAGTGTTTGCCCATCAATCAACTTTTGAGGGTCAGCAACTCATGAACCGCGATAAAACTGGGGGAGGTGGGGGCAATTACTGTAATTTAAGCGTTCATCCGACCGTCAGCAACGAAGATGGGGTATTTATAGAGGATGTGGGTCCAATTAACTGCGACTCTTCTGTTAAGTTTGCACTTCACTTTGGGGCCCAAGAAGTCGGTCGCGAAGGTGAGCAGTTTTTAGTACCGCAGACAATATACTGAAAGAACGATGAAATATTTAAATGTCCATTGGGGTATTTGTCGCATTAATTCCACAGCTGAATCATTTCCCGAGAAACAAACCAAATAACGCCTTACACCGTTTTCATATGGTCCTGGAATCTTAATTAATTATAGTACATTCACAGAGCTTGTAGCTATATAACACATTGGTTTCAGGCTTTTACATTCGTCTGTCGGCCAAATTTAGTCATACCAGTCTATAGTGTCTCCACTTATCGGCGCTGTTCGTGAATATTAGGTCTTAGTTCATCAGCCAGTAGTTTTTAAATCCGTTATACCACAGCAAAAGGTAATCATAATGTTATGTGGCGATATATTTCAGTCTTAACAATGGTCATGCCCTAGGCATTGTTAAAATGTGTGTTTAGGGACAAAGCAAAGATGGTTTAGCCGCGCATTTGCCTAATTTCAAATAAAATTAGCCAAGCGAAGATCAAGCATTTACCTTGCGGATATCCCTTGCAAATTACCAACACAATTTCTCTAAACTCGATACCATAACTTCTATGTAAAAACCTACTAAAATAATATTTGGCATTTTTCCGTCGCAGATTAAGGTTTTCTTTCCGAAACCACTGACTTTGCAAATTAAGGAAGTTTCAATGGAATCGCCGAAGTTCGTCAAAATAAAAAGTCAAAATTGGACGTCAGTGCAGGATTCGAAGACAACTACAGCGATTATTTGCGTGGAAATGCAAAAAAACATAGGTAAGCCTCCGCTTAAACACCAGCAAGTAAGAGGAACTTTAAACTTAGTCTGCT